GTATCAGTAGTACTTGAAGATTCAATTAAGTCAACTTGTGCAATAAAGCTTGAAATTAATAATATGATTAACGTTTAAAATGCACAATAAAAAATTTGTTTGTCCAAAGGCCAAGATTAAAAGACTCTGCATGTTTCAGAAGTTTTATTAAAGTAAATGTCAATTTCGTCTCTCTTGTCAACAAAGCCCCAAGTGACACAGTGGTATTTTTGCGGACTTAAACAGTTTTCGATACCCGTGGTGGGCGGAGCCCAGATAGCCTTTTGTGTAGCTTTGTTCTTAATGACAAACAACAACAACTTGTCAACAAAATCGTGCGCATGAATAAAGAGTTGGAGTGAAACTTCACTGATTGCTTTAACCTCAGTAGTTAGTTAGGTTTGTTGTTTGTTGTTAAGCACAAAGTTACACAATGGGCTATCTGTATTGTGTCCAATACAGGGATCCAACCCCGAATTTTAGCGTCACAAGCCCTTAATTTTACCGCGGAAGAAAGGAAGGTTGGAGAGGCTAGTCTGTACTGATTCTCACTGTGCCAAATATTATCCCTATCAACAATTGGTAAAGCTAGTTTTTAGTTAGTTCTTTATGTTTCTTTTATGCCAAGCTATTGGTAAATCTTAAGTTTGAGTTATTATTGATTGATCAGTGAGGTGATTAAATTCATGGTGTGTGTGTGTACGAGAGTACAAACAAAACACGCTCTTCTTTCATTATACTTATAGGTTAGGTAACAACAATTCGAACAATGATGATGTAACATCATGAATCATATTCCACTGTTATTATATTTAAAATCAAGTAGTTAGTACCTACTATACGATATCGTGAAATATCTAACATCATTATGAATTTAACGGTAATATAGAATAAATATTGCAGTTTTGTTATGCATATCATTAATTGTTAATAATAAAGAGATCTTTTTGTTGGATATACGATATAGATTTTAGGCGACTTCGCACGATCTGCTCACCTGTTGCAGGGAAGATCTAACCGTATTGGTTTGTGTGTCCCTTCAACCTGTACTCACCAGGACGTCGATAAAGTTGCACATGTTGGTAAGGCTTAGACATATAAAAATGTCATAAGTATCACGTATTTAGTCTTACAATTTGTTTGTTTTTTTAATAGAATCAAGGTTCATTACTAGGAAAACAATTAAATTTGTATTAAACTTTAGTTAATACATTTATTAGATTAATTGAATTTTGTTGAATTTATATAAAAAAAAGTTTAAACTCTGGCTTTAACTAAAACTGAATGGTAGATTTTTAATTAAGAGAAGCCAATTGTAAATTTGCTAATGAGAAATCTTAACTAAAACGTTGTTAACTCTATCTCACTCGTATGAATTGGTCAGATAACATTCTAACATCGGTTATCAATATAACAGAAGTGACTTGGTTGAGCATCTTGAAACTTGAGATATAAGAGCTTAATCTAATTCGAGGCTGACCAGACCTTGTTTGAAAATATGTTATTTCCCAAATCATTTAATTTTGTATATATTTTTTGGTGTAGAATGCTGACCTAATTTACACTATATAATGTTGGAACTGAAATGTATAGCTGTCCTAGCTAGGCCTACTTTATGGTATAGAAAGTGACGTTTATTTAGTGTCCGATGATGCATTTTATATTCGGGTATGTTATTCGAAAGTTTTAATAGGAATACTTTCATGGTCAATATTTAGCTTTTCAAGATGCATTACACGTCTCAGTTCCCCAATGTGACGTAAAGGAAGAACTAAACTTGTCAGCTGAGCAGATTGGAGTTTTGTAAGTAGTAATTTACAGTTTTCATGTCAATAGATAATCAGAAGTTTCCAGTAGGCCAGTAAATATTTTTCTAAATCTTTGGGAATAGCTTCTAATTTCCATCACTCTCCGTAAATGTCAAACAAATCTCATCCAAGGTTGCTTTTTAAGGTAATTTTCAGTTTGTTTGTTTGTATCGAAGCGCAAAGCTACACAATAGGCTGTCTGCACCGTACTCACTGTAGGTATCAAAATCTGATTTAGCTTCTTAAGCCCTCCAGCTTACAATTACGCTACTAGGCCTACATACTTTTAAGAATTAATAAAAGTTTCCGTGTTGTCACTTCCTAAGTTTAATCAGATGAATATCTAATGTTATTCTGTTTATAAAATGAATTTGTTTTTTATAGACTTTAGTCAATTAAAAAATGCTAACTTAATATATGTTACAGGAAAATATCGCTTATAATCACATCTAGTACAGCACTTGTCTCTCAGTCTGAGAGTCGCGGGTTCGAATCCCGTCACAAAACATGCTCACTCTTCCAGCCGTTGGGGTGTTATAATGTGACAGTCAATCCCATTATTCGTTAGTAAAAGAGTAGCCTAAGAGTTTGCAGTAGGAGATGTTGACTAATTGTCTTCTCTCTAGTCTATCACTTCAAAACTACTCGACGGCTAGCGCAGACAGCACATCTAGTAGTAATGTTTAACTTTTATAATTTGTAAGCTTTCTAAAGCGTAGTTATAATTGTTGGAGTTAATGAAAAAGAAGATTTTATTTATTTTCTAAAATGTCAACTTACACAATATTCTACAAACTATTTTATCGTTATAAATACAAGGTGTACGGAAAGCACCTAAAGAGATTTACTGACAAATATATCTGAGTATGTAAAGCATTAAACTTATACAATGGTGGACGCGTGGAGAATGTAACAATTGCTCAACTGGCATAGGTAAAAGTATCTAATTTGTAGAAATTCCCGGATTATTAGTAAAAATACTTTATACCTTGATCACAAACCACTAAGCCTATTAAAATGAATTTAGCAGTAAATTCATATAACACTATTTAACAAAAATATGACATTCTTTTATAACTTTTAAAACAATTAAACAAGTTTTCAAAATTAGGAATCGTCTTGATTCTGTTTTTTATCATTTTTTGTTTTAAAATGTGAATAACTTTAAAAGAAAATGTAAGCTATTGTTGTTTCACTATATTAACGTTAAGTCTTAAGGTCATTTTATATAATGGAGTACGAGTTTATAGCTACTATATTAAACATTGGCAGAAAACTGGAAGAGTATTTACCAAACGAATTACACTTAGTGATCAAAATAAATGCTCACAAAAAAAGTGGTAAAACACTTATTCCATTTATAATGTGTCAATTCATTTTGTGTCATGTTTCTCGTGACTCACTCCTAAATCTGAGAGTGAATTTGGCATTAGTCACATTCAACCTGAGTCCAACATGAAACATCATATTATCATACATATAGTATAAAATACTCTCTGCAATTGAAAAACCACGAATCAAACATTTTACATACTTCCAAGAACTATAGGCCTTAACAAAGTTCGGTTTTGAGCAAAAATGTTACATTCACTAGTTAGGCTTATAATTTACACAGTTTCCTATAAATAATTCTTGGTATTACAGTGAGATGTATATTACGTTTTACTTATTAAAGATGTTTTTGTTCTTCATTCCTTTATATGTTATTTATCTTAAGTATACCAATCTTGTGCTTAACATGATAGCACACTTGTTGTTAACTAATAAACTTGTACTGTAAACTTATCAAAAATTTATATTTTATTTTTGCAAACTGTAAGATAAATAAAGCTGATTAGACTCTGAAAAATAAATTAAACACGTAATCGCATAACTACTTTAATAGGGATTTTTTTTGGTATTTTAATTACCTTAATAAAAATATTATTAAAACTTAATCTGAGACATTTTATAACCGATATTTATTTCATCAATTGTAACATCACCTATGTATACATATATATTGTGAGTGCAATAGATGGCAATATTTGATTTTGCTTAAAGCTAACAATTGCACCACTTATTAGGAGTCTGCTTGGAACACTTCTACTGCTGGTGGTTTCAGGTACAACGTTAGATTTATGGAAACAGTACCAACCTGATAAACAAACACTGAACCCTAAGAAGACAAAATGTTGGCAAGGTGAGTGATTGAGTTACTACAGTTTTAAGGACGCTCTGCTGTGATAATTCTGTCTGATTAACGTGGAATATGTACAGATTTTCTTTGGAATTGTTCTTCATGAATCTGTAGAATTTCACCTCCGCGAAATTTTTGTACCGTGATTCTGTTTAACACAGTGTATTAGTAGTATGTTGAATACAGATTATAATAATTCATTATCACAGAAAAACGGATATCATAAGCCCTCGTTCTTAGTTTAACTTCCCTTATATATATATAAAAGATTGTTTCAACTTTAACGAACTAGTACTTTTGTCCCACCTTGTTGAGACAAAACGTTAATTCTAAAGAAAGATCTTAACTTCTAACACAACAGGTTACAAATCAAAAAAATTAAACGTCATTTCTTTTCTTGTTTTGTTATTCAGCAATGAGCTTCGAAGTTTTAAAGGCGTTTTCTCTCTACACCAATGGAAAACAGATGCTGAACACCAACGTTGGTTCAGGAAATCTTGGAGCCCTACATGGTATCCGTTTCTTTACAATGGCGTGGGTTATCTTAGCCCATACCTACATAATGCCTCCTATGAGGATGTACAGTGAGTATCATGAAGAACGTATATAAACACAGCTTACTATGTAATTACGTACTTTTCAATGTCGATAAACTTCAATATATGCAAAAAACTATTTCCAATAGAAAATCAATATTTAATTTTGAATTTGAACTCATTGAAAAATTAGTCAACGTAACAAACCAAATTATCATTTTTCATTTTACAAAATTAATAACTTTTTCTGTTTACGATATTTAAAATTTTTTTAGTTATTTCCACTATTACTCTCAAAAGTATGAATTGTTTTGAGGGTTTGTACTAGCAAACCCACTATTACAACGTTTCCCAAAGTATGGTGAGCGGCCCGGTACCGGTCTTTACAAAATATAAAAACACCGCATTATCCTATGAATATCGCGCAACAATCATGAACTCAATATGACGCTACTTGACATATGCTGAAACTAACATCTCAGATGCAACTTTTGTAGCAATTAAAGAACATCTATTGGGGCTATCATCAAGCTTAAATGAATATTTTCCTCCAATTGATGCCAGTAAAATATGGATTAGGGACCCGTTTACTGTTAACCCGAAAAAATGAAGAAATCTTACAATTAAATGAATCAGAAGTGGATTCATTAACTGAACTTTCCTCTGACACCGTCTTGAAACAGAATTTTTATAAACTCCTATTGATTAATTTTTGGCTGAGTTGTCGATATGAATATGCAGAGTTATCTGAAAAAGCGGTCAGATTCCTAATGCCTTTCGTTACGACATATAAGTGTGAAACTATCTTCTCCTGTTTAGTTTTCTTAATAACAAGTATAGAAATAGATTAAATGTCGAACCAGATTTGAGGGTTAAATTAACTTCCTTTCTTCCTGACGTTATGTAATAACAAACAACATCATTCTTTACTTTAGCGAGTTTTCTTTTCATGATTCACAATGTTGTATAGTTCGTTTGTTTATTGTAATTTCGCGCAAAGCTACACGAAGGCTATCTGCGCTAGCCGTCCCTAATTTAGCAGTGTTAGACTAGAGGGAAGGTAGCTAGTCATCACCACCCACCGCCAACTCTTGGGCTAC